TTTTTTTTAAAGTTTTTTGTGTTTTCCGCGGCCTTTTTTCTGCCTTTTTCCCGGGTTCGGAATTATTGGAGGTGCCCGGGTTGGCCCATTATAAAAATAAAAAGTTTTGAACAGGCCCTTTTTTTGATTGTTGTTGGGGCATGCTGGGGAAAAACAAGCCCAGAAAACGGGACCACCTGGATTGTGAGAAAGATGTTCGAGCCGTTCGGCAGCATAGAGGAGTGCACGGTGCTCCGCGGGCCCGACGGTACCAGCAAAGGTAACGTCAGATCAGTGACAGACTGTTACGCATAGGTTACGCAGAGCCTTGACATCATATCCGGGGGATAATGTCAGTAAATTCGAGTTAAAACACAGACTTCGCTTATCCCGTGCGAATGCGCCGCACGAAACACAGACGTGGTGGGGTAATTACTAAATCACATGAGGTCCCCAGGTAATACTAGCCTGTGCGAATAGGGCTAAAGACACACATTTGAAATTGACTCTACAAGCTCTTTTTTCACTGTTCAGGTTGACTTAGAAGAAGGAAACCCATGCCAGATACATCCATAAAGATCAGAAAGTTGGATGGATACAAAAAACCACAGTGACGATGCAACAAAATCTATAGTTCAAGGGCTTTGTATACAGAAATATAAACAAACAAATAGTCCAACTCTCTCCCTCTGTCACACACACACCCTCACAATGGATTTATTTCTGACAGCTTTTGTCAAAACAGAGGAGAAAGAATCACGTCCAAGGAGAAGAAGAATGTGTCATTTTTGCCTTTACTTCTTTTAACAACAGCCATTTAGGATTATCTGAGCTCAACAGCAACTTTGTCTCTTACAAGAGTACACTTCCCATGTGTTCTCAGTTCCCTTTTTTTAAAACATAGTTGGCAAGAAAACAATATAGTTGTATCATCCACAAGGATTTACTATGCAAATGTACTGACCAAAGCAGCCATGGTGTAAGGCAAAGTGAAGCTGAGTTGGGGTAAAGTAATATGAAAAAAAAGAAGCTTGTTGTAATTAACCAGTACAGAGGTACACCGCTTGGCTTTAATCTGCTGCTGCTCTAATTAAAGTATTGGTACCAAAAATCCAGCCAAGTCCATCTGTGAGTGAGTGTATGAGAGAGAGTTACACATAGGCAGACAGAAAATCTTATCTACACTCACACACACCATTACTAGCACTGATAGCTCTGGCCAGTGCCTCAGTCACATGAAGAGCAATAACTTTGGATAGTTTTATTAATAAAATCATCTTTCTTTGCCTCCTGCTGTGTTACTCCCTTGAGCTCCCTTCAGCCCTTTAATATCAGTTCACTGCCTTCCATGTCACCCAGTCAACTAATGAATCACAATTCACAGTATAAAGTCTCTTCTTTCCCAGTCTCCCTTTGCAGCCTTTCGTCCTCCTTCGTTTCTTTCCTCGTGTATCACTCAGTTTCTCTCTGTTTATCTCTCTGTCCCCTAGCAGACACAGTACTAACTGTCGGTCTTGTTGTTAGTCTTGCCAGCAGGGATGCAGCACAATCACAATGTCAGACAAATAATGTCCAAAGGATAATTATTCTGTAACACCCAACCCTGCTGCGGAGAACATCTCCATTCATTTGTAAGAAGAGAAATCAATATATGCAGATGCAATATTAGCTGGTCAATTGCCATGTCTAAATGATTAGAAACAAGGGGATCACATGATTGATGTGTGTGACTCATGAGTCTCATGCTGTCTGCATTAATATTCCGTCTTTTCATATCACGCCCTATGTAAGGCAATCGAATTGTACATGCTGTCCACTCTAATCAACTCACGGAGGTTCATTTGAGAAACAGCTGATGAATGGGATGTGAATGAAAAGAGGGGAAAAAAGAATGCAGAAATATTCCCAATTGTAGCAAACAAGATTTTATTTGACATATGTTCATTATGATTATTGCATTATAGTAAAATAACATTCAATGATCACATCTCTGGTGTCAAGAGATTGTCGTCAACATCAACGAGAAGGGCATTGCTAAGGTTGTCATCACTGAGTAATGCCACTGTTTGACAGAATTGTTCTAGGAACTAAACAAGGAATGGAGTGTAAAAACTCCAGCATGCCTGCCTCCAAAGCAGAGCCAGTCCGCCCTATACGCACACTACGCAAACTGTGTAGGGGCCCGTAAATTTGCAAGATTTAGTTACAACTCTGTAATGCGAGATGGAAAGCAATTGATTGACATTGACTATTGATTAAATATTGAATTTAAATGTTGATTAGCTGAGCATACTGGGCAATATGGATGCACAACTCCTAAAAAATAATGACCATCAAGTATTCAGTCAAGCCATAGTACAAATAGTACTTATATTTTAAAGTGTATAAAAGTTAGAATGGACCTGGTGCAGCTATATTCTGTTGTATACACAAAGCTTATTGTATAATATTGTGAGGACTGGACTAATTATCAGGCAACAGAACAAAATTTCAGTTTTTAGTTTTATTATTTTTGACATTGACATATTTTTAACATTTACATATGTTAATATTCACTTAATATTCTATATAAAATATTCTATTAAATAAATATTGTATGTTTATACTTCATTCTGTTCTGTACAGATAAACGAATTCTAAGACTGACAGATGGGGCAAACTGTTTTAAAGGAGGGAGGATTATAGTGGGAGCACCGGGGTGTCAGGTGTGATGGCAATGGCAAATAGTTTACATGGTTTACAGGTCAGGTAGGAGGGCCAAAGAAGCTATGATCTGCTGAGTTTTTATGGTGTGTTATTTCTGCTTTAACCACAACGAAAACAATTGTTTTTCTCATACTCTCTTGTTGCTTGAAGTTGTACACCAGGAGACAGGTTTGACCAGTGAATTGTAAAATCTCCCCTGATATTTCCTGGGTGATCATAAAGTAATTCCTCCACAGGATCTTCCTTTAGAGCCTAGTTCCTCTGGTGGACAGGCAGGTAATAGAACTACTGTTTTCAATTTGATAGTTGTGGACTTCAGTCATTGTTTGACAAAGTGATACTTATTAGCTTATTAGATTAGGTTATCGCAATTATGTATAACTCAATTGTTCAAGTGGTTCACCTTTTGAAAACGTTGTAGATGAAGCAACAGCAGGAATTAGTGAGTTTGCATTAAAATTAGCAACTGGCCTTTTACAGGTTTCAGAGATTCTACAGCATCACAAAGCAGAGTGGATGAGAGATTCCTATTGTTAGATAACAACAAGAACATGAAACAAAACTCAAATCCACAGAAATTCCTACGTTGCACAGGTGTTACAAAACTACTGACAGCTGAAGACACTCTTCAGTTGCATGAGGTCATAGTTGTGGCATGCCAGCGATTGCCAAAATGGTATTACAAAACATTTACTGTATTGTTGAGGAAATGCACTGTATATATATTTTGTAATATTTGTAACAATGTAATGGAGACACAGCAGTGTGTTCAGAGCTTTAAAATTTTAATGGCTAATGTCTTTGCAGTGGCAAATAGTTTTACTGCTTGTTTACTAGTGATAGAGCACCCTTCAGAGGTAGTTCTTTGCAGAAAACCACTGGGACGTTATCTTTTATTGTTCTCAAACCCATTATGTCAGGGTCTTGACCTCAAGGGCTATGTTTCTTCATGCAGGTGCAAACCTGGCAATGGTATAAAATTAACTACAATGCAATTATTGTTGGGTACTAGTATTTAGTATTTTTATGCTAGTGACTTTTTAGTAATTCAATGGCCTCAAATAGGTTAGGGTTACTGCTGAGGTGGGTGGAGTGATTCCGCTGAAGCTGTGTTTAGTGATCTTCAGGTCATGCAGTCAATGTAATTTTGGCTCATTAGTAGCTACATTTCTACAACGCAAATGCACTTAGCATATTCTGTGGTTATTGTTAGAAGTGTCACATAATTACACCTTTAAAGGTTAACAAATTCAAATGTATGTTAAAATTCTTTCACTTTAAAATATTTTTTCCACATCAGAAGTATTGCTATTATTGTGCTTAAGTATTCATTTGTGTACTAGGTTTGATTGATGGAAAATTATTAATGCATGCTAATAATAATATAATTGGTTGTAGATGTTGCATAAAATAATGCATGTGTCAACCAATGCTGGTATCTTAATCAAATCTTCACTGGACACTAGCAAAGTAAACAAAATACAGTACAGTGTGAATCCGTTTTTTCCAAATTAAAAGATAATATAAATTTTTTTGTTATGTAAACTGGATTATTATTGGGGTATTTAAGAGGGAAATGTCAGTTTATGCAATCACATAAATAAAAAGACTCTTGCTTTACAACATATACGATGGTGGCATTTTCTATTGTATCTAGAATCACTTCTAGATACAATCAAATATGACTAACTCATTGAAAACTTTTGAACAGTAGATAAAACTATAAGCAGGAGACAGTAATAATAGAAACCCATGGCATTGTAGTGGTGCACATATTATATTCTGAAACAACGTGTGTTGGTCACTAAGTATAAAAAGCATGTTAACAAAAATTTGTATAGCTCCTCAAATAGTAAATTAATCTATAAACTCTCTGTCCTTGGAAGCCTATTTGGTTTGTTGTATATCTACATTTGGATGCTGCATATTAACATTTTGGGAATCTGCTCCTCTAGGACAAGAACAGTTTTTGCTTTGGAGGAACTGATCTGGACATTAATTCTGCTCATTAGAAAAAAATGTCTGTAGCTATGTGGAGCTGATGGTATTGGGCAAGCCTCTCTCTAACAATGTATTCATCCTGACAACACAAGCATGCAGACATCTTCACTAATTTTACTATAACTTGAAAAGTTGTTATGGAAAATCCATTTTAATGTTATTTAGTGTATCTAATTTTGTGTTTGTCTTAACTAAATATATCCACAGACAGGCTTGCTTTTGATGTTTTGTATTTTCAAAAGCAGCAGTTCAAGGAATAAATGGCTATTCGCAGACTTCTTAAGACATTTACATCATAAAATTAGATGTCTTACCTTTCCGACGTATAGTGGCTCTGTGCCTGTGTACTCCTCCACCACAAAAAACTGGTTCCACACCCATCCTCTCTTGACTCGTTCAAGTGATGAGGATCCTTGTTCCTGTCTACTCCCTCCTGGGGTCAAACTACTAGTCCTTGAGGGCTCACACCAGCCAAAACTGCAGCAGCTAATAAGACCCAATGCTGCGAACAATGTCCAAGCTCCTGCTGTCCAAGAAGGAGCCATTTTTATTTATTTATTTTTTAAATTAGGGAAAGAAAAAAAAGAAATAAACCCACCCTGGGTCTACATGTAATATAAAAGATGCATGCAGACAGGAAGAGTTTTTCGGTTGTAGTTTTATACCAAATAAAACTCCACCAGGGAAAACATGAAAGGTCTTTGTGTGAGAACTTGAAAGTTAATCCATGGGATCACAAATAAATCTGAACTTATCTGCTGAATACAGAGCAGGTCATGGAGCATATTGGATTCCTACCACCTGCAGAGTTTCTGTTTGTACTGTAACATGGTCGGTCATCCTGATTCTTTTATAGTATCTGCTCCACTTCATAGAGTTTTTGATATATTTTTAAGTATGACCGAAAAGTAGTGAAACTACTTGAAATGTCTTTCAAGCTTAAATTTTGAAGGCAAAAAAACCAAAAAGATTTTAATACATTGGCTCACTCAGTGGGGAAACTAAGGGAAAACAGGGATTCTGCCCCTGAAGAGTGATGGTTTCCAGTCATTCTTGACATTGTTGTTTTTACTGTTTCAGACTTCACTTGGTTGGTTGGTGCGTATTTCAGGTGGTTTAATACTAAGCTGTCCAAAATAACTCTTTTTAACTTTTTTTGAAAAGAAAACTCTTCTGTAGTCCTGTTCCTTGAAATGTCATGACTAGTTTTGCCTCCTGGAGCAGAATCCTTGAACTGAGAAAAGGTCAACTTATTTTACTGTTGGTGACTTTGTTTGATCTTCGATGGCTTTTCACTCCAGAACAATCCAGTGGTTTGGAAAAGTAATTCTTCAAAGGTCCTACGGTATTTATTTGCCCATCATGACAACTCCATCAGTGATTCATCGGCAGGAAAAGGACAAATCTGTAAGACAGAAAAGAAAATTGCTGTTACATGCATAATATTAAAACAATAATCATAAGCGGGCTGCTTGTGGCTTCAGAGGCGAGGAGCGGGTCGTCCCCCAGATCAAGCGCGCAAGGTGTTTGGTTCGATCCCGGCTCCGTCCTGGCCCACCGTGTCGACAGTATCACTTGAGCAACGATACTGGAACCCAAATTGCTCCCGATGCAGGTAGCACTTTCGTGGTGGTGAATTGTGTCAATGAATGAGTTTAGTTTCTTCGATCGGCCTTTGCCAGTCACTGATTTGTGAATGTGTGTGAAAGGCGTGCTGAGATTATGGCCACGTAGTTGTAAAAGCGCTTTGACGTGGTTCGGAAGACTGGAGAGAAGCGCCTAGTACAATACCCAGGTCGCATTTACCAATTACGCGCGCATAATTTGCCGCAATTGTGGGCTTAATAATGAAAAAATGTTTGTCCTAGTTTCTTAGCTATTTTTAAGAGGGTTGCCATTGCGTTGCACGGTGGTCACCCCGTAAATGATGGACAGCCTGTTGTAAAATGACGTGATCTTACCAGACTTTAGACTTTAGAGGTCATCTTGAGCACCTGTAGTTGCAGATTGCAAACCTCCCACATCGACTAAAGCCCTCCAGCTTGTAGTGGAAGGTCGGTGAAGGACGAACACCTACAAGCGGGCCGGAAAATCCCAAACATGCCACCAAAGGAGATCGTAGTTGCGTGTCTTACGGTTGGTCTGTCTAGGCTATTGTAAGAAACATGGCCAGTCCAACATGGAAGGCGGACCCATGGGCATTAGTTAATTCGAGATCTATTATAGCCGTACATCTAATGAAAAGACGAGTATGCACTTCTAACTACTCCACATGCCATGATTCGACTATTGTATACTTATCTGCCAGATGAGACTTCGACCACTAAATGTTCACAAACTGGAGCCTCAGCTCTTTTTAAACGGACCGAGTAAGCACATATAGGTGATGTCGAATTCATGATTGCATTATAAGATGGAAAGTAGCTGGAGCACCTGAGATGTGTACACGGCAACTTCGATGATCAGAAGCGAACAAATAGACTTGTTTTAAAACACAACACCGATTCCGCACTCTGAAGCGGTGTGGCGTGGTGCTCGTTAACCTCGTGTGTGCTGAGCTACCAAATACCCCATTAAAGTGTTGGGTTTGAGTTTAACGGTTGTTCCATCACACCACCCGGACCCCAAACCGCATCTGTCTTGCCTGTCCGTCGCGGAACCTGAGTGGAACCGGCCCCGTAACATCCAACCAGGCTGAGGTAAGTTGCATGAGGGGAGCACGTAATTGGATAGAAAGGTATTAATCAATTAATTTGCGCTATCAATGACGGAAAACAACCCGCCTAAATACTATGCCAGACAAAACATTGGAACAGTCACCGTAGGGGGGAGCGGGCAGATAACGGGTCCTTGTTTCACATGTTGGTGACGGGAACATGCACAGAGTCCTAGCACAGAACCAGAGCAGAACCTTATGGCCTGAGCAGGAGAACACAGAGAGAGAGTTGCTTAGGTGCGGGCCCGGACGACACTCGAGAAAGAGCACAGACAAAAGAGAGACAAAACGACAAGAACTGAAAAATGAAACCGAACCCAATGAGAAGACCAGGAAGACCCGCGGCAACACGGAAACAGACCTGTGTCCTGTACTTGTCTCGTGTGTAAGTGTCATTAATGGTCTTTCATGAAACATTCAGAACAAAAGGATGACAAAAAAAGGAGAAACCACAATACAAGTTTAGTATGTCTCTGCCTTTACGACCTCAAGAAGGAGGAAGATTGC